GGATGACTTAGAGAACCCCACAGATGGCATGCAATGGATGCCGACATTCTTACTCGTCATGACTCGTGCCGGGCCTGGGATAGTAGCAATGCAGATGAACGAGCAGTCAACCAACAAAGTGCAACGCTGTTATGGCACCCAGGATCACGACATTGTTAGATGATATGTGGACAACAGCCCCATCACGTACTTTCCAATCACTAGGGCCTGATAAGGATTGTTTGTGGGCCTGGCTCAGCTCCCTCAAGTACATACAGCTTCAGAACCCGGGAGGATCAGGCTACATGCTTCGCTTGGCATTAGTCGAGTGTATGTATTCCTGCTGGTCGACATGCGAGGGAACCGCTAATGTTGGCGATTCCAAGACAAATCCTTTTGACACAGCAGCTCTACTACATGATCGCTCAACTTATCCAAGCTCAGTTCCAGCGATGGACTGGAGGCAGAGGGCAGGTTCTGGGCCTCCCAGGAATTCCTAACCTAGGGGAATGACCCTGAGTGCAGAGCCTGGCCGTCTGGTTATAGTTGAGGAGTATGCAAACGATGTGTGCCTCTAGTTGTTCTGATTGGTTGTCAAACCCTGGCAGTTCCAGAATATTCAAAGGAATTGAAATTGGCAGCACCCAGCCGTCTCAGAGAGTTCAAGATTAGATCTGCAACTCTGCTCTGGCGGCTCGGTTACCATTCCTTCGAGCAACCCCTATCAACAGAGTGGAGAATGTGTGACGCAGTTTTCAGCTGTGATCTTTGCAATACTGTTTCGATCCTTGGTCAAAAAAGCAATGTCAAGCCTGTCATGGTCCAGAAACCCCAAGACAAGTATGTACATGTAGCTATCAGATCAAGTCGGTCCGGCGAGGGTAGTACGACTGTACTTGTGTAAGCGATATAACTCTAAAACCGCTGTTCATGGGTCAAACGCTATCATATCATATACTCAGTATATTGAGGCTGTTTGGGCCACGCATGGTGGTCCACAAAATCATTACAATTGTCCTGATAACGATTGATTGAGCGGTTTGTGTTTGGAACCGGCTGAAAAGCTGTAGAGTTACAGCACATTACAACTTTTTGGCGAGCCATTGAGACGACAAGCCTAATTTGGAGTGGCAATTGGATATACTTTGTCGAACTACCGACAAAAGGGTTTTACAGCCTCCCTTGCCTTGCCTTGGATGGTCCGATGATGTGACAACTGGAGCGAAGCGACTGAGGAAAAGTGAGAGAGGCGTGAGTTCAGTGTCTTGATGGACAAAAAGTCATTTAGGAAGTCTAACCAAGCGTTAGATCAAGCCATATCACAGTGTAACGACTTGATGGTTGAACGTGCAGCTTTACGTCAAAGGATGAAATTATGCGCCACTCTCCTACACGCATACTATGTACTGCAGTTTCGAAGGGAACCAATCATACAGTACATATGAAGAGGATGCTTGGAGTAGGACAATTCCCCTCTCAACACAGCAAGCTCCTGCACCTGGCATCATTGGAGATTGCGGAAAAAATGGCCTTGTCAATCGCATATGTTTTTCTCGGAGCGATCATGTAAGAAGCCGAGAGCCTCGACTGTCAATTGCCTTCCATAAAGACTTGCCCTGCCTACGGATGGTGGGTGTCCCGAGCCCAAGTTGGTTAGCGAGACATGAAACACGAAAGAGAGAAGAGAAAACATGGGGCGCGTGAAGGTTCCAGTAGGTCGGGAACATGATGGTAGAAAGAAAGGGAAGAGCATTTATGTGGCAGCCTTGGACGTGCGTGATCGAGGACACAGCGGATCTCTTGTGCTACCGGTCGAAAACATAAGTCGAACTGATAGATCGAATGTCATGTCACACGAGCCACGGAATGATTGATGGTCAGAGGAGAAAGATGCACAGTCGTAGGGCTGGCGGGTGACGGATAGCCGCAGGGATCTTCCTATCGTGTCGTGTCTACGGAGTAACAAGGAAAAGAAACGAAACGAGACGATGAATCAAAAGGTGGCTGGCAAACATGACGATTCCTTGGCTTCCGTCGCAGCAACGCCACAACAGGGGTAGCTCTTGGGGTGACACAAACACCCGTTTCTTACCAAGATCTGCTGCCCCTGTCGAAATGATCTGCTGCCGTCGCAGTGTCTCGGATCGGTAATGGGTCCCGGGGCCGAAATATCACGGACATGTCAAGTGCAAGGCTTGCGAGGCTTGCATGCTCAGTCTCTGGCGATCCATACAACACCGCACAATACTGGACCTTCTCCTTATCTCGTCGGACTTTGTGAGACAGCATTTTAGGGGTTCTTGGTGCCATCGATTCGACTATCTTCGTTTTACAATACTATACAATACAATACACTCCACGGAACCAATCTGGGGCTCGACTCCCCCTTGGACCAATGCAATGCAAGGAGGGTGGGATATGATGCTCTAGGAATTGTACGGATACCGTGCGTCGTGGATCTAGTGCATCTTGGCAAGTCTCTGCGCCGCTCGTGTGCTTGATCTCGTTCGTGCAGGATCGTGACATGAGTCACTGGGCTTCTCCTGAGGATGCAGTATTGCAGGTTCTCCTTGGGTGCTTGGCAAGCCTGTCACATCTCGAATTGGAAACAGTACAGCCTGTCCCAAATATGCTAGTACGTAAGTCTTGTCTCGGCGAACTCGAGTGAGTAAACTGCCAAGGTGCATGTTCGAAGCGTACGGTAGTGTGTGTACTGTAGTGTAGTGTACTTTACTGTGCGTACTCTATCAGCCAGCGAGTGCCTTTCCTATCAGCTCCTTGGCCCTGTCGCTGTGGTTCATCTCGAGGGCCAGCTCCCGCCCCCTTTCTCCCATCTTGCCCCATGTCTTCTGAAGGATGCCTATCATCTTTGCCTCGTCCAGATCCGACTTCTTCTCAAAGTCGTCAAACTGATCGTCAAGAAAGACCAGGCATGCTGTGTCCTCAAGAACCTGTGTCTCTTCATCCGCCTTGAGGTTCTCCTTGCGGATCAGGGCAGCTACTCGAGCGCGGTCCTCCTCGGGAATGGGGGGTTGAATCTCTGGAGAAGCAAGGAGCTCGGCAACTTGAGCGGCGGCCTGAGCCTTGAGCTTTGCTCTCCAAGTCAAGTAGCCGGGACGAGTCATTGGGTAACTGCTTCGAGGGATCTCCCACCTGTGCATGTTTGTAAGCATTGGGACTTGAGAGGAGCTTAAGGTTCTGACCTTCGGAAGTGCTGTGCTCGACAGGCGAGCTGGAGAACAGGACTGGCGTCAGGGCATCGGCGGGCGAGCCACTTGGTCATCTTTTGAGCGTAGTTGAGCTCGAATGGGATCGTGGTTCCGTCAGGGGCTTCGACTGTCCTTGAATCTTGGGCATGAGCAGCGTCGATGAGCTCAAGGCCTCGGGCATACTCGGTGGGGAGGGGAGGGAGATGGTCGGTCATTGTGAGGCCGTTGTTGATAGTCTGACACTGTCTAACTGTCTTTTCGGATGCTGTCCTGAACACTATGAGTTATTAGCGGACAGAAAAGAATCGGTTTTGAGAATGTATGGATATCTTTGAACTGTGTGTGATGAAGATGATAAGTCTCGAATGGTGTCGTGAGATGAGTCAGCAGCATTGGCAGGTGTCTAATTGGATCTAGTGTGCGTGGGTGCTGTGCTCCATGGGACTATCTCCGAGGACCAAGGTCACATCATGATATGGAAACAACAATACTTTCCATGCAGATTTAAGCATTTGTTCTAGAGCAATGCACCGTGTGTAAGTATAAGCACCTTGGTTAGTTCTAGTTGCTCAGCGGGACAACTGCAGTGGGTTATTGTTCTATGTGCCAGTGACAATGTTCGTCCCCAGGTGCAAAAGGCAGCACAAACAAGGAAATTCTGGTCATCCATTGTACGCTCTGCGTTCCTGGTATCCATTAGAAGCAAGTGCATAGAGTATATAGGCCATTGCTCGTTCTAACATCGCCCTGTGGTCCCGTGCCCAGTGAAGGAAGCCCCCCTAAGCGTCCGACGGGCCATAAACTAATCAAGCAGTGCAGCACTGACAGTGGCAAGCCAACTGTACATTGTTTCTGCACCTCGAGCCCAGCCTAGAAAGTATTTCATCTTGCACTTCGAAAGCGGCTGTGCTTGATTTCCCCATCTACCCTTACTCCTCATCACAGACCTCGAGTGTGTCCCTCTTCCTCAACATTCCCCTCAGAGCAACACTGCATCTACAAATAACATATCTTGTAAAGGGAAGACAGTGTCTTACTTTCTTCCCTCCCGTCGCTTTCTTTTCCTGGCTATCATCACCCAGCCCGGTGCTGAACCCTTTGCTATCACCATTCTTTCTTGATTCTTCCTCGCGAGGCAAGATCTCGCTCGCCACTCATATCGAGGCATGTACAGGCTTGTCAGAGACTGTTGGGCATCAGTATTGACATATCACAATAGCACTGACATCACACGAGCGCCGTGATAGGCTCTTTGCTTCCCGCCCTCGAAAACAGATGAACACGCGCTTCCTACCTCTTCTCCCTAGGTGAACACACCACTCACTACTCATTCGAAGTATGTAGAGACTTGTTCAAGACTTATGAGCCTTACATGTTAAATCGAAGTGACAGTATCGACATCGACATCGACACGCAATCGTCGTAGTAGATCCGTCGTTTCGCAACACTCGAACACTCAAACACTACTTCTTGGTTCTGCTCTGCAGCACATATCAACTTCGCTTCTAGCCTCTAGGTATGTTCAGGGTCGATCGGGACTGACAGGCACATGATACTCACTAACTTTTGATGATAGTACTAGCATCAACGCGTAGTCGTGGTTAGTTCCTTTGCTCAAGACACTTAGACTGTACCTCTTTATTCAGCTTCGACGCTCTACACCTCTCACTGCTCATCCTGAGGTATGCACAGGTTTGACGAGATGGATCTGATGAGTGCCAAATGCTAATTCGTGGTAAAGTGTCAGCATCATCACCATTCGGGCATACTCATATTCAGTCCTACTCCTGATACCAGGACATCCGGCACATCATGCAGAGATTTCCCATCCCGCCGCCCACTTGGGCTGCATACAGACAGCATCAAGAGTACTATGATCGTTTATACCAAGGGCTCAATGGTTCCTGGTATAACCACAACACTGTTGTCCCCGGCTTCGTTGAATTGCCAGCAGATTGTGTGCCCCGACCCCCGGCTGTCAACCAAGCATCGTCCTCTCGGGCGGGCCCGGATCCTATTAACCCTACTATGCACTGCGACAAGCAGCTCGGCAAGCACTGCGACAAGGCCTGTTGTAAGCTCAAGCCCAAGGCTCGAGGTCGCCGTGTAACAATTGCCACTGCCAGTGATGAAGAGAACGGCGTTGTCACAGATACTGAAGGCAACATCACGGACAGCTCCAACCCTGTCGTCAAGAGCAAGATGACTACCAAGGCAAAGGGAAAGGATAAGGCGGTCCAGACTGATGATGATGCCTCGTCTGATGATGCCTCGTCTGATGATGAGGACGACGACTCTGATGATAATGAAGAGTCCGACGAAGACTCTGATGATGACAACAATAAGATTGCGAAGTCCAATCACGTCTACGGGGCCATGTACCCTAATCATCACCACCCACGGCCTAATGCCCCCTGGGTCAAAGGAGACTGCGCCCTCCTTGCTACCATCGACAGCAAGTATAAGCGATCTCGCTGGCTCGAAATGCAGGCCAATTTCTACAATGTCACAGGACAAATGGTCCCTCTTGTATGCTTCAAGGCCAGATGCGAGCGCGTTGAGGCCGAGAAGGCGGAGCGTTCCAAGACCCGCGAACTCGAGAAACGCATGAACAAGGTCGAGGACTGGATTGCGAAGCAGGAACGTGAGAAGTCGGCCGAGTCTGAGGACTCTGAGGACTCTGAGGACTCCGACGACTCGGATGAGTGATTCACTCCACTCGGATCAGCCAACGTCGTGTCACGATAGGTGCGTTGCGTGAGTCTTTCTGACGGAATTTACCACAGAGTGACTCTCGACTGTTACGAGTCTCTACAAATAGAGGCCAACATGCCCGGCCAAGACGATTGAGGTTTTGTTTCGTTATTGCTGTGTTTTTCTTGGCGTTAAGGGAGTAAAAGGAATAATTCGATAGATACCATCGTGATGGCTCAAGTTACGTTTTGGTAACTTAGACGGGGACAAATCTGAGACTCGGTCAATCATAGAAGCACAGCGAATTAGAGAAGAACAGAAAAATAAACAAGCCGGGGGCATGTCCTAGGTATTTGTTTTTTGAGAAAAAGTAACATGCTTGCTACCTTGGTGATAAATAAATCAGCATTAACTGCGTGCGCCCGGAAATGCAACCAACACCTGGGCTTAACATCAAACTCCTTTCTCTATTTTCCTAACCTCGGTTCCATGCAGAACTAAAGCATAACCGTAGAAGCTAAAATTTTGTACAATATCTGATGATAAATAAATAGGGCAATGGCCCAATGCAGATGCACAAAGATACAAATAGTTGTGGGTATCAAATAACAGGACAGAAGTGAAATAAGACCAAATGTGCGCTGAGGACAGTGTAGGCCGGGATGGGCTGGGCTCTGAAGGGTGGAAGTCGATTGTAAATCAGCCGATTGATAGGTACAACACCAGAAGAGTTCAACAACACCTGTCTCCAGGTGATGTGCGTTCCGATCCTCGGGCCAGAGTCACCATGGGAGGGCTTTGCTGTTTCATCAGCAAGCTAGTGCTTCCATGGCCTGATGCAAACTTGCGCTGTTCGTGTCGATATCTAAGATGCCCACAGGAATGTGATTTGATGTGGTGTTGCGGAACGGGCCGTTCGGCGTGAATCAAATTTGGGGCCCCTTTAGCGTGAGATGGCTTAGACCCGAGCCGTATTTCTGCTCACCTCAGTCGGTGTCGCTCAATTTGCTTCGGAGCCGTTCGTCAAGCTACCACAACTTTCTCGAGTTGTTACGAGTATTGTGGCCTGTGTTGGGTACAATGAGCAACTGACCATGCCCTCTTCAAATGGGGTTCTCCATTCCTGGAGGGGGAGTGGCTCTTGGCACGGGATTTTGGTTCACCACTGGAGGTTTACGTAGAGTACCACTGGTGCCGAGACCGCGTTTCATCATCTTGCCGAGGACCGTAACCAGCTCGCAAGCATCACCAAACATGTCGTCGTCCATTCCCTCCGTGGCCTCGTATACTTCCGCGATAGTGTCCTTGGCAACTTTCCGACTTCCTTCAGCATCGTGAACACATTCGTATAAGAAGGCAGCATATTCAGTTTTGACTGAGAGGCGAAGAGAGTGAGAGCCCCAGAGCATCGAGTCAGCAAGCTGGATAGCCTCCTGAAAATGCTGTTTTGCCTCAGGAAGGTAGTCTTTGGCTGGGATGAGAAAGTTGGGCGATAACGTAAAGTTTTGATCTTCAAACCCCGGGGGAGGCAATACTGGCCCCCCTTCGAGGGGGTGAGTTGGTTGAACAGAAGAGGGCCTAGATTCGACTTCCATGTCGGCAGCACGTCCCTTTCCCTTATCCAGGCGCGGCGTCAATACAGCAGTGACATCTGGCGTTTGTCTTCCCAAGTTCGAGACCGAGGGTGTGTTGCCAAAGAGAGCAAAAATATGTGAGAAAGAGGCACGAAGTTTGTAGGCGAGGACCTTGAGTTCGACATAGTTGCCAACCATTGGTATGACATATTGTTCAAGCATTACCTTGCCCTCTCGGGAGAGCCATATGATACGCAAGATACGCCGTATCGCGTTAGGTGATGGCTCATAGTCAGGCCGGCGCTGCTTCTTTGCGGCAACAAGCTGTTCGGCAAGGTTGAGAGACAAGCCGAGAATCTTAAAGAGCATGCTGGCCAAGAGAGGATTGTCATTCTCGACAGCTTTGGCAAGCTTGCCGAGAAACTTCTGGTCGACTTCAGAGGACGCCATGCAGCTCAGCCGGTACGTTCAAGGTGAAACTTGGGTGTAGGTGGGCTAGGCGTAGAACGGTCCACGACTGAGACTAGGGACTTTGCTTTAGTTTAGATATATCGACTAGGGCGACAGAGGGGAGGGGCGACGAGGGTGGAGGAAATAGCCTCGCATACGAATCAAAGCACGGGTGTCAAGCGTCATAGACGACGACAACAGGACATGCGACGAAAGAGAAGCAGGGAAATATGAGAATATGGAGGCAAGGAGAAGGAGGTTGGCTGAACTAACCGTTAACGAGCTCCACAGCTGCAGCAAAACGCACGGCGGGAACGACGCGAAGTGCGCGCAGGTCGTTGCAGCAGCTCACACGATGCAGCCCGGATGAGAGGCAGCCAGAGCGAACTGGGACTCGTAAGGCAGAGCCTATTACTTGGTCTGTAGAGGGGCGACTCTACAGGGACGGCGAGCCAAGTTGAAGGCGCGCAAGACAGCTGGCAAGCTGTGATTGGGTCCGATGCGTATTGGTGACTTTGACTCGGATTGTAGTGATTAGATGAGATTTGGAGATGCAGAACGACAGCGTCAGGAGAAGAACGAGTGACAGATGACGCTTAAAAGGCGCAGTATCGACCAAGGAAGCTTCCTGAAACCAATTGGCCTAATCCGAGTTCAGAGTCGAACTGTACGTGACGGCGCATACGCATGAACTGTCAAAAACCCCGGTGTTGATCAACTGCGGATGCTTCAACGTGCAATGACGACGAATAAGAAGCAGGTGAGTGAAACGCGAGATTGCGATTGAGGACCAAGGCCACGGGGACTACAATGAAAAGCTCGATAACAAACGAACGAGAGACTAGCAGCAGGAAACAAACGCAGAATTAGCGGCACCGAATAGCATGGCGGAAGAACGAGCGACAGGATGGCAGGCTCGTTTGAAGGAAGTTATACGGCCAACCACTCGCGCGCGGTGTTGAAGACGGACGGGAGCGAAAGTGACCAGCAAACAAGGACAAGCCGAGGCGCCTCCAGGTTCAGCGAATGACTGGGGCAGGCGGTGAGCAGAGCGGGTAGCAGACAGTCCTAGGCCTGACAAGACGGTCAGTGGGTTGCTGACGGGGGGTCTCTGTTCAAAGCCAGGTCTGTGAGATGGACGGACAGGCTAGACCAGGGGACCCTGAACACCAAAAGGCACCGCTATCAACAGTGCACCACTGAGCGTGGAGAGTCTCGACAAGGGTGGAAGGGTTCCAGAGCTTGTCTAGTCTGATCGGACGCTTGTTTGAAGATAATGATGAGAGATGACTGACAGGCGCAAGGACGATTTTTGATAGTCTCGAGGTTCAGTTGGAGTCTGATTTCAAGATCCGGTAAGTTATATCGTTGAGTAATGGTACGAATGCAATTTTATCGAGTTCGATAGGTGGTTGATTCTGTTGGCAGGGTAAACAAAACTTGCTCTCGCCAAGTCGATCAAACAAGTGATAAAATGGGTGCTATTTTTGTCGTTCCAGATTGACGTCGTTTAAATGGACCTTTGCCTTCTGTACAAAGTTGCCAGATGCACCTCGATCGACATTGATGTGACACAATTTGAGGAATTGAAGATTCGAATTGTAAGATGGGACTGGAGAGAAGAGTTCAGAAGTGACACACGCGCCACAGAGAGCACAGCACAAGAGAGCGCAGCGCAGCACACGGGGGTTAGGTGAAAATCGACGCGGCACGACGCGGTACGTTTCGCAAAGACCGAGTGAACCTTACTCTGAGGGTCTTGGTAATAAGAGTGAAGAAAAAAACACGGACCCAACGGGTAGGTGAGTTAGGTAAACGTTAAGGATATTCGAAATAGGTCAAAGTGCGAAGAGGCGGCGGGACCGATGTATAAGGAGGCTGGGGATATCGGCAATGTCAAAGCCAAGTCATGTAAGGAAGAAGAAAAGTTTGAGAGGAAAAAGTAAAACACAGAAACATGAGCGTCAGGTGGAAATGAGGTTCATGTCCGACGCATCTCCCTCATGCATGCTCTTTCCTACCTGAACACGGCATGAACAGACAATTTTGGGCACAAAAAGGAAAGAGACCTTGGGTGGATGTCCTCCCTTCCTTCACTTCCATCTTGTGGCTTGTTCTCGACATGGATAGGTAGGCCCAGATTTTGAGTTTTATTTCCTAACTGGGCGTTTCCGTTGCAAGTCTAAGGTACCTATCTATCTCATCTCTGTCTCATTGTAAAAGTTAATACAGCCATAGCTACCTACCTACTAAGGAAAGTAAGTAGGGTGGGTTACTCTCACATGAGAAGCTTTCAAAAGTTAATCTTAACTTTTTGAGCACATCCACCAGCGCAAATGTTACTCTGCTTCCCGTTGGACTGTACAGTTACAGTCAGATCTCAACGGTCTCCCCGAACTGGGAACATGCTTGACCGTTCAGTTTTACTTACGGAGTAGTGAAAGACACAATTACAAGAACAAATACGGAGTAGCGAGTGTTCAAGACACACAGCTGACCCACAGACGGGGACTATCCCGAGACCTGACCCGCAGACTAACTCACTATCAACCACCGTCTCAGACTATAATGCACTGCGATGCGACACTTCAACATCAGCGTCCGTATGTGGCTCAAGCCTGATGACCATTTAATTCATGCATGACAATGGAGAGCCGTTGGCCGTTGACTATACGCAGTATGAGGTAATATGACCCATAGTTATCTGTCTGTAAGACTTGCTTGACATCGTCTCTATCATCCTCTGTCAGGCTTCAATGCAGCACAAGTGTAAGATAGAAGATACCGCCCAAGTCACAACACATCTCACAATGATGATCTAGGCCTAATCAAAGCGGTTTCAACCCTTTCCGCTTCTATCTTCCCCCATGGACATCAACTTGACAATTGTCTTTCAATCATTTTCATCCAGTTGTTCCCATTTCTGGATGTACGCTGCTGACTTGGCCTTTAAATGTGATCCACGTCTCTTTAACCAATCGTCGTCTACCC